CAGCTTTTTGGGTTGGGAATTGGAGCTGGTTGAAGAACTCAATGATGACACACTGGCCTTCAAGCTTTGCAGGCAGCCTTCAGCAGCCTCTTGGCAGTACCTCCTTGACTTGGATGACTGGCTTGCAGTGATTACAAGGCCAGTGTTGCAGAACAGGTTTGGCCCACTTATTTTCCAGCAGTGCGCAGAGCCAGTCTCGTTGCCATTGGCCAGGGCCTTTCTTTGTCAGTGAGCCAATGCCAGGCTGTGCTTAGCCATTATGGGAAGGACCTGCCTGGCAAACCCAGGAAGAGGGACTATTACCTGGCAGTTTGTTCACTCTTTCTTGACACAGCAGAAGAGAGGGAAGCTGCCTTGGCCAAAAGCCAGCTCAAGCTTCAGGAGGAGGAAGGGGGCACTGATGATGATGCAGAATATGAAGACCTCTTAGGGCAGCTGGAAGAGACTGACAATGCTGGGGACCCAGACTTGAAGCAAGAAAGGGCAAAGTTGAAGAAAAAGAAAACACAGAAGGCAATTCAGAAATCACATGCTGAGTTTGTCTTGGAAGCAAAGGATAAAAAGGCCAGGGGCAGAGGCAGAGGGAGGGTCAGGGGGAGAGGTAGGGGCAAGGGGCGAGGCAAAGGGAAACACAGAAGGAGAAAGAGCAAGTCAGCAACACAGCTTGCAGACAGCAGGAGCTTGGGTTCAGTTGGCGCAGAAGAGGCCAAGCCTCCCAAAGTGCCTAGGCTCCAGGAGACCTTTGAGCAAGAACAGCCTGCTGTGCTTGCAAGGCCAAGCAAGCTTGTCCAGCAGCCGCCCAGCTCCAGCGCCTTTCCAGGCTTTGAAGTTGAAGGGCCTTTGCAGCCTTCGCAGCCACCAGGGCCTGTGGGTGCTTCTGATGCTGCAAGTGCCATTGCACCCACCAGTGCAGCCAGTGCCAGCACAGTCCCCAGTGCCAGTGCAGCCCCTAGTGCTAGTTCCACTGCAGCCCACGGTGCCATTGACATTGTGGAAGTAGGCCCCAAGAGCAGTCATGAGCTTTCCAGTGCCAGGCCAGGAGGTTTGGGCATCAGCAGGACCAAGGTGTTTTCTTCTCCAAGTGTCCTTGACAGCTTGTCACCGCCTGGCTGCAAGATCACCTTGAATAAGAATGATCACCGCTGGGCTTGTGCTTGGAAACAGTCCATCACATCAGAGAAGTGGCTGGGCAGCTTGTCCAACAGGTCCATGACCAAAAGGTTCAATGCAAAGAGCACAGAAAGTTGGCAAAGTGCTTTGAAAGAGATCCATGCCACGTGCTGGACAAAATGGGAGCTGGCAGAGCCAGAGTCTCCCATGCTGAGGTTGCCACCAGAGAAGGCGCAGAAGCCTGGTGAGGTTGCTCAAAGCATCCTCAACCAGCTCCAGGCTGAAATTGACAGCCTACCCGGCATTAAGCAGTATGTGAAGTGATGCTTGCAAAAGAGGTGCTTTTTGGCAGCTGTTTTTTCGCTGTTGTGGCTTCTGAATGGACCTGCGGTGCAGGCTTGAGCATGTTTCAGCATTTTCTGGCATGATGCAGCAGGTTGTGGCATGTTCTAGTATGTTTTGGCATGTTGGCACCAACCTGGACATACCCTAAGAGTATCCCTGCCCAAGAGTATCCCAAGGGCTATTAATGATAAGGTCAGACAAGCTCGCGGAACGCTGGGCCAGGGTGTCCATTTCGATCTGCGCGCAGCTTTCTGCGCACTAGTGTCAGGTCGCAAACAATACGGATAGCTTGTTTGCAGGCTGCGGCTTTGGGCGAAGAAGATATAGCGTAGGGAATCAAATGTGTACAAGGTGTCCACGATGTACCCCAAGAACCCAATGACACGTTTTGACCAATGTTACTTGCCCTGGCAGCGGGGCATGTAGCGATGAGACCTGTCCAGGCCTGTGGGCGACGGCCCGCCCCTCTCAGAGATGCTTGTCCACACCAGGAACAGGACTGTCCATCCTCTGCCCAACTGACGCGAAAGATTGCCTTCCTGCGCAGTGGCAGGAGATTTAGGTTTCGAGGAAGAGGCTTAGACGTTGGTCTGTCCTCCTTGCGAGCGAATCGAGACTCAGTACCTCGTCACCACTCCCAGGCCAGGTAGACCCAACAAAATCCCGTTCCATCAGCCGCCTGGCAAGCTGGACTTCTATTGATGCGCCCGCCAATTCTGCAGGATCTGGTCTCAGTTCCAACGCTCCGATGTCTGAGAAGGACGGACATGAAGATTCAGCTCTCAGCACTCCGAGGATCGATGCTTGCCTCAGCCACCGAGCGTAGAGCGCAAGCCGAAACCCTCAAGAGCATGAAGGTCCAACTGTTGAAGCTTGCACGCAGGGGCTCCGTGATGAGACATCGCCCAAACCGAGGTAGAGGCGAACTCCCGGAATGTTGTCGCCGTGATGATGGCCAACATGCCAAAGAGGTCAAGGCAACCACCGCGTGCGTCGTGAAGATCGCATTGAGGCTCAACAAGCTCAACATGTAATCACGTTGAGCATGGAGTTACAAAAGGTGTCATGCCGGAACGCACGACTTAGCGCTACGACCCAGCGCGGTTTCACACCCCACGGAACCACATCTCACCCCCACTGCTTGGCACATCGCTCACCCCACAACAACCGGATCTCACCCCACAAACAAATCCTACTGGCACACCGCATGAAAAAATCGCGTTTATGTCGCAACTGCCTTGTCCGGCGCGTTCGTGCCTATGTGTTTTCACATTAGCCTCTGCTTGTCTGAGCTAGGCTGCGAGCTTTAAGAACGCTCGAATCCTGTCCACAAACGCTTGGCGCACCACACTTCACCAACATTCGCTGCAATGTTGCTAAGTTCTTTGTTCATAGCCACACCTATGCGTTACAAGCACCCACCTTCAAATAATCAGCTGACATCCAATGCGCTCAACAAGCACTTCCCCCACGGCACACCGCGTTTCACACGCGCTTCAACCAACGTCACCAGGTGTGCCTCCAGCGGCCCCGGGGCTGGTTTGCGCCTATGTGCTTTCACATTAGCTTCTACCTGTCTGAGCTAGGTTGCGATCTTAGAGATTGTTCGAACAGTGTCCACAAACGCTTGGCACACCACCATTCACCAACATTCGCTGCAATGTTGCTAAGTTCTTTGTTCATAGCCACACCTATGCGTTTAGAAGCGCAATCTTCCAAAAAACAACTGAGGTGCTCAACAAGCGCTTCCCCCACGCTTCTTTCTTGTTTCTTTCCCTTGCTTCTTTCTCTTTCCCCTTACTCTTTCATTTCTCTTTCACTTGCGCTGTGTCTTTCCTTTTCCCTTTCTCTTTCTCTGATGCGCCCCTGTCACGGAATCTGCTTCTGAAAGCTCTGCGCCTGCCACGCCTTCCGCAAGCACTGCGCCTGTCACGAAATCTGCGCCTGACCTTGCGAAAGTGCTGCACCTGCCACGAGACCTTGCGAAAAAGGTGCCTCTACCAACACATGGGAGTTGGGTTCTTCGTGCTGCGCTTTTCTCTCACACATGCACCAAGGCACGCCAATGAAGGATTGTGTCCGAACAGGCATGCTGGCCAGGGCCAGTCTGTGTACCGCGTTCGCGCCTCGTTTTGACCTCGTTAATACCTCGTTTAGGCCTCGTTAAATTGGCTGGCTAAAGCGCACTTGCGCTTTCCGACGAGCAACTTCAAAGCCCGTAACTTCTGTCAAATCAAATCCTACTGGCACACAACTGAACGACACAAGAAACCAAACCCCCATGGCACACCAGACCCTTGGCTTTGTGCGCGGTGGGGGCTGGGGTAGCACTTGCGTCGTCAGCAACATCTAAGTGAAGTGAGTGTGCCCATGCGATTTGTTGCAAAGCGGCTTCCTGCCATACATCTTGAAATGACAGCATGATCATGACTCTAGACACCTTTCCCCACTGGCACACCGCTTGCGGCACGAGATCATGTCTTGCGGGGCGTGTAACAACGAGGACCCAGTACTTCCTTGCTCTGCTGATAGCGGCCTGGATTGACGCTCATCCGCAGAGGAGCAAGCGCGCTGTCATTGAGTTGCCCAAGGAGCCTGCTCCTCACGAGCTCCGTGACCGGAGCCACAGGTTCAACTCTGCCCTTGGGCAGCGCATTAATTCTCAACCTCTCGCCTCGAAGATCAGTAGGCTAACTGAGGAAGCTCAGGACAAGCGGGGCACGCGGCTGAAGAGCAGACAGATTCTCTGGTGTCTTGTCGAGCATCCAATCGATCCGCGCGAATGAGCTGTTCCGTCTTACTCTTGGTCTATCTGACGGAGCTTGAGAAATACATCGATAAATGCTCCAATCGGTAAGACTACACTGCAACACGTGTTCTTTGAGCAGGTGCCGCGCTCTCCGTGTCTGCTTCCCGACATACAACACTGGGACCGAAATCCCGAAGTCCAAAACGATGAATGGATCATGAAGGCTGCGCGAAACGCCGTGTCGCGGTTGCGAACTCATTACAACGTGTCCAACATCAAGGAAAGCAACGCTGCTGCTCCTGGAGCAGCGGCCGTCCCCCGTTTGGGGACCCCTAGAAATGGCTCAGAAACCAAAAAGACCCGATTTAGCAACTACAATTGGATAATCGCAACTTTTCAGTACGAGCACCGCGCGCCGTACACCTCCTGTCAGAAACTGGCAGTTGGAAATGCGGTTTGCTGGTCAGGACTTCAAGTCTCAATTTAAAAACCTGGCCAAACCGCAGAGGTATAAAAGCATTGAGAAGCTCCATTGAGCACGAAGCTACGAATTGACCAGAAGGTACAAACACTGAACAGACATCCAGTCCTACTGAGTCCTTCCTGTTGGACTGAAGAAAGGAGAACGACATAATTTTGAGAAAAAGAGTTGCGCAAGTGTGACGCATGGCTGCGTGAGACAAAATGTTGAAGTTTAACAGCCTTACAATGCAAATTGATACATCCACTGACGATGTTTCCATGACAAAACTCACAAATCGAGCAACCTGTAAGTGCAGGAGAATGCACTGCTGTCCTGCACCACATACTCCCAAGGAAACGGAAGAATGACCTGACCATCAACAAATCTGAAAGACTGCGCTATGCATTTCTTTGTTCCTGAGGCAGTGGCTTCTGCCAGCGATTCTGGATAAATGTTCATCGCAGCATCTATACCTACAAGAAGACTGCTGACCAAACCTATGGCATACCTCATGGACTGACCAACCTAAGGCGCGCACGAAGCATCGTCACCCCAATCTCCAGCAGTTCAAAAAGGAAGGCACCCAGCTGAGCTTGAACCTGTCATAGACATGGTCTGCCAAAAGCAGGCTCCTCACCTGTTGCTTGAAACTGGGGTGAAGGCAGACTTGTCCTCTGTGTTGAGGTCTGGCAAGCCGTACATGTCGCAAAGGCCTTCAGTTGTAAACGAGGCACCGAGGCACAGGTGCGGAAGCAAAATAAGTGCCATCGGCAAGAACCCATTGAATCTGGGCCATTGAAACTTTAAGAGCTGCGTGTGCTTCAGCGCCAATCCAAAGTAAGAACCCCATGCCAGGATGTCCTGACTTGGCGAGTAACAACTGTCGATCACGCACCAGTTGCTATTTCGTAAGAGGAAGGTGTTTAATCTCTTGCGCAAGATTAGATGTCGGTGCACGTCAACCGTTTCTCAAAAGGGTTCTCGTTTAAACCGGTTTGGGAACCATTTGCGCTAGCCTGCAAATAAGAATGCGAGAAGCTGGCATGCTCACATAGAAGAGTCGTTGCATCCGTCAGGCTTGCAATTCAGACGCGTCTGCAGCTTGAAAGAACAGAGAACACCAGACCTTGCTCGGGTCTTATCCAACGTTTGCACTGTAGCCCTGTAGCCTCGTCCTGTCAGAAAGCCCAACCCAGGCCACCCAAAGAGCCGCAGAGCCGCTGACTCTGGGAGTCTTGCAATAAACAGCACGCCGCTAAACATGCTGTTGTGCAAAGAAAATTAAGGCACCGGCGCTTGTTGTTCGTCCAAGGTGGCAAGCCGCAGTTGGCACGCTCATTGTCTGGATAGTGATGGAACCTGAGTCTTTGAAGGGATTCAGAGGCTGAAGTCTCCACTCTTCTCCAAGTTCAGTACTGCGATCGCACGTACTTGTCGATGCCTGCGCGGCCTTGACCAGTGAAGAAATGTGTAGGGCAATCAATTCAGGAGGACAGTGAACTTGGCAGTGGGCCTTGCAAGTACTGCCTGTTGCCGTACCTATGCAGCTTTGCGATTGGTTGCCAATCCGAGGGGTTGAAATACCATGGCTTCAAAGACCGCGTTAGCAGCTGATCTCGGAGCTGCTTCTGTTGCAATGTGAGAACATAACAAATACAATCGACAGGGGAGAAGTCGGCAGAACCGCAGTGCTGAGGCAGAAGCTCAGTTGACATCCAGCCCAGGCCTCAAGGTGCAAGGCAAACAGGACTCCACGACAAGCTGTTGCCTTGCGCCCACGTTGAGCATTCGGCACTTGGCCGTGGATTCCTTCTTGGTATCAGCAGATTGCCCACAAGCCTGGCGAACACACCATGATGACCATCTACACGATTGAGTCATCCTTGCAGCAACCCAGCAAAGCGCCTTGCCACGATCCTTCTCAGGCGAAAACACAAACGGTCCAGCCATATGGTTCAGCACGGCATCTACCTGCGAAGCGCATTTATTCTTGTTGCACGGTGCGACGTGATGCAGGGACTGCTTTGGTCAGCAGGCTGGCCGATGCTTTGCCAAGGGGCCATGACGTTGACACCAGCAGCCCGACACCTGTTGTGTTGCGCCAAACCCTGACCTCCAAAAAAACAGTTGTCTTTGGGGAAATAATTGCGCGGCGTGTTTCCACAACATGCATTTGCATGTCAAAGCCAACCCGTTGGATCAATGAACATCAAGATGAAGGCATAATCCCCTTTCGCATCTAGGTAGCACGGAGCTTTCTCGTCTGCCTCCACTCAAGTCTCCCGGCCTTCTCACCATCTCTGTAAATTCATCGTATGTTCCGCTGCGCGAGTACAATCTGTGACAAGGGTATGGCAAAGGTGCGTTCAAGTGTCGCATTGCTACTCAATTGGAAACAGGATCAACTTGACAACTTCAAATTAATAGAACCATGCGTGCTTTGATGAAATTGAAGCAGGTGCTTGGCTTTGACCCAAGTATGCAGCAGTGCAAGCCAAAGATCCTTGCCGAGAAACTGGTAGGACACAGGCTGATACCGTGTGGCCCTGTCAAGTTTAGTTTACTCGTCACATGATGACACACATCAAAAGCGCCCACCAAGAGTCGCCAAGGATGTGCTCGGACGGGGGCGAGACCTAGCAAACTGAAGCTGCACGTCTGGCCCTGGCAACTCACGGGATGCCTGAACAGCATTGAATCCAGCTGGCCCGAGTTGCTGCTCGCATTCGTTTCCTTGGAGATGCGCGCACGTTGGGTCTAATTGTGTCTTGATTCAAGCTTAAGAGTTCGGCCAATATCAGGCCAAGTCCTTAGCCAAAGCAAACACTTGTGACCCGAGGGGTTGGTTGTAGTTGTTTCACTATCAAGTTGCACTGACACTAGGTTTTTGTTTGAGAAAAAACACAGTACTTTCTTAATTGTTTGACTTACTTACGCAGATACAGTTACTATGCAAAAAAAGGAAGGAAGAGGTGAGCGAGTGAATAAACAAACAAACGAATATACGTATTCTTCTTATTACGTGTATATCTACATATGCATTTGCGTATGTGTGCGTATGCTGCAAACATGTGTTTCACGAGCTGTTTGCGGGGAGCGCGCTTCAGCGCTGCAGGGATCGGTTTTGCTGCGCTAACCCTTGGGACACCTTACCCAAATAGTCATAGATTTCACACCCCCGTCACTTTTCTATGCCTGCGGCTCCGCACTCCTTGCACTTGCGCTTCCCCAACTTCCATGATCGGGCAACCGATGGTCTTTGCCTCGGCGTTGTTCTTCAAGTCAACGGCACCCCAGCCCCCTCTCCGGTGCATTATTTGCGCCATGGAGCACGCGGTTCGCGCGTGACAGGCCCTGCGCCGTTCGTGAGCAACCGACACTTGCCACTTGCGCTTTTGCAGATGAGACTCTGCGCTCTATTTGCAGATGACGCTTTATTCAATCTGCGGTTTGGCTGCGTGGGAGGGTGGGTCGCACCTTTTGTTTGTTGCCCGCTGTGTGGTCTCTGTTTGCCCAGCCTGATCCAGCACTTGAAAAACATGAGCTTGCGTGTTTGCGCTATTCCCGAAGCCCTGGCGATGGCCTGCCACGAAAGTCTTTTGGGCGATCGCCCACGCGGGTTCACCGAAGCTCCCTTGCTTGACGGCCGCTGCGCGTAAAATTGTGGGTTTGCTCAGGCAGTTAAGGTGTAAGGAATTGAATAGGTCCCAACGCGCGAAGCTGTCGTTGGTCCCCAATTTCTAACCCCCTGCTCGAGCAGAGGAACTGCAACGTCCGCTTCTGCTTTCAAACGTGCGTTTGCGCAATGGCCGCAGTCGTGCATCCGTAGCTGCGTCTGAAGCGCTCTGCCGAGCTCGACTGCAGAATTCCTCCAGCGGAGCGTTGATTCTCTCCTTGTTCGCGCCTTCCAGATCATCTACTTCTGGCCCCTTCCACGCTCGCAGCGCTGTTCAATAACAAGTTCCAGAGTCATCTCAGAACGTCCGGCCCCTTGGCCCCAACAGCAACTGAGGCTTTGCTCCCAGCAAGCACCAGCCCGCAGACACGACACAGGACCCTCCAAACGTTGGCGCTCTGACTCGCTACAGATCGGTTTGTCTCAACGCGCGCGGGTCAAATTGCCACTCAGCAGGATCGCGCTGCCACATTGTGTGGCCACGTCACCCTTTTGCGCGCTTCTTGCAGCGTTGAGATTGTCCTGCACGCCGCCAACGTCCTCTCCTCTGTGTGCCACATTGGCCTTGGGGCTTTCGGATGCCTCCTCACGGCTGGCGCACTAGACCCGTTGCGTTGTTGGCGCATTTAGCAGCTGTCAGGCTGAGCTGGCTGCTCATCTCTCAGCGGCCGGCGCGGCCACAACCTCTTCCTGCTGAAGCACATTTGTTGCTGCGAGCAAGTTGAGGCCGTGTTCGCAAAGGCAACCCTGACGCTCGCCATCGAAGCATGGGATTGCTACGGGTTTCATCTCTGTTTGTCTTACGATGCAAGGCTTGGCGCAAGGCGGCAAAGACCATGTTCGTCTCTGTTTGTTTCTGACGGACGCGCCGCAGACCAGCTTCAGCACGGTGGTGCTCCAGCCTCTGACTGCGACACAGCTCCCAATGTGAATCGCAGACTTCCAGAAGGTGAACGCGGCAGCTGCCATTCTTGTTGCGCCCATTGCCCGAGCCTAGGTTTCTTCAAGCTCGCGTTGCCACCAAAGGCGCTTAGGTCACGAATGACGGTATGGTGCCGGGGCCCCTCTTGAAACTTGAGCCTCTGCAACGCTGCAGCATAGCGCGCCGCTCTGCCAACATTGTACATGCTGAGGCGTGGTCTTGTTGCGTTGAACAATCTTCGTGGGCACTTTGGGCACTTTGCAAACAGAACGCGAGCTCACTTCAGTGAAGCTGGTTCGCAGCTTCCCGGCTTCCCGGCTTCCCGGTTTCCCGGTTTCGCCTGCAATGGCAGCTATACGTTATGACTACGGACATGGCTGCGCACCTCCAGTAGCGCGCAGCACTGCAAAAACACAGGGCTGGCTCTTCAAGGCAAACGACGTGAAGGCAGGCAACAAAAAGCAGTTGAATCTTTCGCACACAACTCCCTTCAGATTCCGCATTTGGAGGGCAGTGCAATGTTTGAACAATCGACTCCTTGATGGCCGCTTCCCCTCTTTGATGCTACTTGCATCCCTCACGAAGCTTCTCCGGCATGTCAAGGGCTAGAACAGCTCATACAGTAACCTCTGCTTGTCAACACACTGCTACGCTCCCTTTCCGTAAGTAGTGCATGCGTGACAGTGTCTGGCACGTCCAGCTGCCATTCGCTATGAGGCCTTCCGTCGCTTTGCTGCACAAATCAAAAGATCCCGGCAATACATCTCAATCGAAAATCATGAGCTGTTCAGCAAGCTCGACGTATGGACTTTGGAGACTCCAAATCAGCATTAAGGTTGAAGCCACTCGAACAAATGCACGGCGACCAAGTCGGGCCTTGACCTCAGCAAAATTAGCAGCCAAACGCTCGGCTCGTGGATTGTCGTCCCTGCACGCGCTCGTTTTCGCGAAGCTGGCATGGCAGTCACGAAGTGAGGCGCTGCCACCCGGAGACCAACTTCAAGCATGTTCGAAATGACTGTCCAATACTTTCTGCTAGAAAGAGTCAACAAGATCAGCTGGAGCCTCAAGCATAGCATGCGTGTTGGATGCATGCTGTCGCTGGCTTCTGCAGCGAGTCTTTGGCAAGCGAAGCAGGGGCCCCTTATGCAGTATCGAAGCAAGTTGGAATCTTAGTGCTAGCAAGTGTGGAGTATGCGGCGGGAGGGGCACCTGATGCACCATGCAAGCACACCGCCTGCAAATGCATAGAGGGAACCAACGGGGGCGTCAAACTCATGCTGCTGCGTTCGATATCACTGAAGCTTGCTGGTATCTTGCAGGCATGCGCAACTGTGCTCACTGCTAAGGTTTTATAGTTAGTTGCAGCATGCGTTTGGCCACCTGAATAACTGCTGGACCCCAGAATCGTACTCTCTGCAACGAGTCCAAAGATTCAGTGACTCAAGGGGTGCTTGCCAACTCCGATCGCCCAATGCTAGTCGGCTCCAAGCTGCCTCCCGCCTGCCATGCAAGCGTCATGTGCTTGCCATCAAGGCACCAATTGTTTCCCATGTGCAAGCCTTATCCGCACTTCTATTGACTAAACCCCCCAAGAAATACACCTGATTCACAAGCCTGAGTTGCCCCAAACACAGTGTATAGTTGGATGGCTGACAAGCTTCTCTAAACAACTGAAAATGAGTCTCCCAACAGCGACATTAACGTAGTATGCAAGAGAACGGCCCACGACGCGACAGCAGCCACACGCTCACACATTGCCCTTGCCCAAGCGAATAGCGTTCAAACTCGTCATCCCATGCGCCTCAGCCTGAGCGACGTCCTCTTGGCCTGCAGAGCATTTAGCCCCGATGCTTCTCTACCACTGCTTGACTGCGCCCAATGCCAACTCATCACGAGCTGCCAGAAAGAACGGAAAAAGCAAACAGCAAAACCGGACAAAAGAAGCAAGCCTCTGCATGTTTGGACACACCAGGCATGCATTCAGCAGCCCAACAACCTGCCTGCGTTTGCGATGGGGAATCGACGCTGTGCCGGAGATGAACTTGAAAATTCCTTGCTTGTTCGATCGCCCAAGCTTGCCACTGCGTTACAGGTTCAACTCGCTGCAAACAAAAACTGAGAGACTGGCAAGGCTGCAACGCAGTGGACAGCTCGGGACTCGTCTGAGCCAGGTGTCCACGCAAGCCTTCAGAACAAATGTATGAAATGAGAAATACGTCAACGCACTATCTCCATCTTCTATTCGGCTGCAAAGACCCGCATTGCATGTTAAGAAGCACCATATTGATTGCTGTTAATTTCAGCAAATGACAATAGCAGTTGCAGCCACGCCTGGTGAAAAAGATGCGAGCAGGTCAAGCGCCTCACCCTCTCTCCACTGCTGAAATTCTCAAGGCAAATTGAGCAGCAATCTTCACCGCTTCGCTGATGAGCTGAACTGACCTGTCACTTCTGCTGATCATGTCATGCAAGCCTTTGGCATTTGGATTGAACAGCCCAAATCCAGGGTTTCTGTGGAACTTGATCGATTCACACATTTTTTCCTGTACTACAGGACCCTACCGCAGCTAAAGCGGGCAAGTTTAAAAGAAACACAAAGCACATGCTCCGAAACAGAATTCCCCTGAATTCAGCAAGGTGTCACTTGGATCAAAAGGTCCATTTGGGTCGCGAAGCTCGGCTCTGGCGTCTCCGTCTCCGTATTCGAAGGTTTCCGGAAGCTGCTGCAGCTGCTCCTCAGAAAGGCCCGGGGAGGGCGAGGCTCGGAGACGGGCGTGGACAAGCACCGTCCAGCGTATTCGCAGCGCGACCGGCATTACCAGTCTGCTGCAGAACGTCATAGTCAGCAAGCAGCAGAGAAAAGATGATGTGAAGTTGAAGGACTCACAAGGTGCCGCTTCACTGGCCATCTCCCAAAAGAACATCTCGGAGTACTGGCTGCAAGGTAGTGCCGCTAGGCACCAAAGCACATTACAGAAATACCAGGGAAGAAGTATGGCAGAAATTGCACCTGGAGTCTCGAGGCAATGAAGCACTGAACCCACTGAATGCACCATTGGCATATGACCAAAGGCTGTCAAGATACAGCTCCACCGGCTATTTCTTGAGGCGAAGTGTGCCAGCAGCGCTCCAATCAGTCGCTCCTGCGCATCTCCCATGCCATTTTATGGTTGCAGACTCGCAGCAACAACAGCAATAGCTCCTCTTCTAAGCCCATTGCCGCAATCAGCCTGCCTCAGCTTGCTCAGTTGCAGGTGCGTACACTGCTGGTGGCAGTATGCAAAGTCACTCCCAACCAGGCTTGCTTTCGGGCTTGAAACTACATGGTGACTGCTGTTGCTGCTCCTGTCAAGCGCCAGCACGTTGGGCGCTGAGGGATGTTGCAGCGCTTTGACAGAAAGCCGCTGTGGTAGATTTGACGCAGTGTCTTTGCCATGAGCTCTTGTTTAAGCAGCACGTCATTTGGCGTTGGTGTTGGGCGCAAGTCTAGTACGATCAGGAAGTTGTTCCTTGGGCCATGATGTTTGCTTTGCCAGTTTGGCAAGCTTGATCTGGCGTTAATCAATTTTGAGGAGTGGGCCACAGTTCAGAGGGCTCAAGTTCAGCAAATGCGGAAAACATGCAACAACATGCAAATAGACGCAAATACCTTCAGACACATTCAGCAAGCATTGGAATCATGCAAACACATTCGCAATCATTCAAACACATTCGGAAACGTACAGAAACATTCAGGAGAACAAGCACCAAAGACCCCACTAAGGATCACCAAAGCAGAGAGGCGCAAGAGGCAGCACCTACACAGATTCCACTTTAAACTATTAAGCAGGCCCACACAGCCAAGAAAAAAACGCGTTCAACAAAATACAAAAACATTCAAACAAATGTAGAAACATTCAAACATACACAGCAACATTCAAACAATACACCGACCTCAGCCTCCACATGAGTCACAATCAAAACCCGGTACTAAAATGGTCTACCCAGAACCATGTAAGGAATCAAGAAGGCGGCCGCAGCTGTTTAGGGTTGGGATCGCCCTTACTAAGCTTCATCTACCCGGGTTTTGATTGTGGCTCACACGTTGGCCGTTCAGTTCTTACCAATAGCACATCATATTCCACAGAAACCTGACGAGCGTGGTTTTGATGCTTGTCTGCATTAGCTTTTCCATCCCCTGAACCAAGGCTTCTGAACAACACCCCTTGTTCCTGTAGAAGAGTTAAACTATAGTTTGGGCTTTGATGCTTGGCGTTCAAACGCTTGATTCATCCGAGAAGAAACTTGTTTAGTTTGGCACGCTTTCCACGTTAATTTCAAGCCGTCAATGCAACAGCTGGCCTATGTAGCGTTAGAAAGAGCTTCGTGAGCTGCTACTGATACAGATTCCTTGCCCAAGGACTTCTTGCTTCTTCAGTGCTTGCAAGTGACACTTAATACTGGCCCTGTTCTGTGAAACAAGCTGCGCGGCGGGACAGCTGCAAATTGAACGCGTAGCTGCAACATGTCATTGTGATACCAATTATCACTCGTCGCGAGACTGGAAGCTGTCTTCTTCTCCAGGCTTCAAAGCAAAGCACTATGAGTAGGCAGGATGTCGCTTGCCCAGAGAAAATGGCTTTATAAGCACTTGCCCCTAGGAAAGTAAAGCAGTGAGTATTGCCTTGTGGGAAAGATTTGAAAGTGGAGGAATGCTTTGCTGGAGCATTCCGCGTTTTAAGCTGGCGATCGCACCAAATCTGATCTAGAAACGTGAATGCGAGTCGGTTGTGGAGCTTTGAAAGATGCTGGCTTATGTCTCGACCAAAAGCAATGGTTGTGTTTGCAGCCAGAAGCTCGGGGCTTGCCGACCCGGCGTCCTCACAAATCGTGGCAAGGCAGGCTAGGGAAAACAAGTTCTTCCAAATGCAAATCCTTCCAGCTCTCTTCTTCCCCCACGACCCCTAATTCATGGCTTGGTCTGACTCTGTGCGAAAAGTATCAGTATTCGCAGCATTTTGAAGCAGTCGCCCCTAAAGCGAAACCCAAGTGAGTCAATTGACGCTAAAAACATTGACCCTAAACCCTTCACCAAAATCTGCCCACCTCACGAACCAAGCAAGGCATGCCACGCGCAACTGGGCAACTGGCCTGGAGCGTAAACATAATACATACAAGCACCCAACAGCACCAGATTGCTTGCCAAGGGGCATGGCCTGAAGAGTTTTCCAATGCCCCTTACCTGTTTGCTTGACCATCAGCTACTATACTACTGTATCATGTTTGATCCATTTCAAGCACGATGTGCTTCTTCACCCTTGTAGCTGCATCTGACCGAGCTGCATCTGCAGCAGTTGCCGTAAGCTAAAGGCAAGCGCAGGCTGGATAATATCACGGGCATCAGGCACAGCAACCAAATCTCTGTTCCAGGCCTGACAGGGAGGAGCCCTTGCTGCAGCGCCAGAAAAGACACGCACCAGCAAGAAGTCTCAATAGCAAACAAATTCATCAAGCATGTGACAAGAGTCCCCACTCACTGTTTGTTGGGAATGAGTTTTCGGTGGACACTGACTTGGATGCAGAATGTGTACGGCAACATAGTAAACCCATGACCAAAAAGCCTCCAAAAGTCCAGTCAGAACTCATCTGTCAGTAGCAACCCATTTTCCAGAACACATCTGCGGAAGTTGGCTAACGATAGTCAGGCGTTTGGCTGTAGCGGTCATTGTTCGATATAAACAGCAAGGAAATGGTCGTCCAGCGAGGAAACAGCCTCGTTCCAGCATGGAAGTAGCCGTCCAGCAAGAAAACAGATCTTGCGTCATTAGTCTCCCCAGATTCGCAAGCCTTGAGGTGGACGGCTCGGTCAGGAAGACCGCCAAATGGATTGGAAGAAGAATCATTGCAGCCGCCGACTCCAGGAATTGTGCTCGGTACAGCCAAGAAGCTGCTAGGGCACTCCCCAACCTTGCAGCTTGGCCAAAGTCGCAAACGCGCATATCGGTGGCATCTAAAAATGCAGCTGTGCCAAATGCCGTTTGCAACAAGTAAGCGCTTCGCGTGTTAACCACCGCATCTTGTGCAGACCACATGTATAGCCTGGCTGTGCGCCAGATTGACATGCCATCCCGAGCGCCATCCCATCTTGTGGGCATACGGCGCCAGAAACCATGCGATCTGGAGGCTGTGGCAAGTACGGCCGCTGTGCTCAACACACCGATGGGTTACGCAGTCAGAACAAGCTGTATCAAGTTTCATTCAGATTTGTATGCGTCTTTTCCGATGGATTCAACTGTTTGAGATACTGTAGATTACACATCGTACTGCACCAACTGCTCTTTGGCTCTATCGGTTGTGTCTACTAGTTTTGAGAAAAAGCCGCGCGCGGGATGTAAAAGGGTGTGAGCTCAAGCCGCGCTACATGCATGCGATGCATGCGATGCATGCGCCAAAGGGCGTCAAGGGCGTCACTTGTCACAAAACCGCGACCACAAATCAAAGGTGCCCAAGGGACCTTGACCTCAGCTGCCCGTGGCTACACAAACGCTGAGGTCTCAGTCGCCTTCAGCGCCCTGTCCACGTTGCAAGGCGTCGGCTGAGCCGCAGGACTGCACCTCACGCCCAACATCTCGAACGTTTTGAATGCCACAGGATATGGGTGACATGGGACTTTGGCCTGGCATCTGCCAAACTCCCAGAAGAGAAATGTGTCTCCTGACTAAGAATATCAAATGACCATGCTGCCTCGTGCATCGTTTGTTCACCTCTGCCACTTTTGAAAGCTACAGAGTAGGCAGTCCAACTCTTAGTACATGTGCCGTCACAGTTCATCTGCAAGCGTTCTTCTCGTGACATTGCTTTGCAAAGGCAGGCTGGCACTTGCCCCAATCGTACGCCTCCAACCGAATGCATCCGCTGCAGACAATTGTACAGACCTGGGATGAAGTGGCAAAACAGCTGTGAGTTTTGTTACAAAATCAGAGCAAATCGATGGGCCGTGCCTGTTGTGTTCTGCTTGAAACGATTTGGTCCGTAGTACCAACCAACTTTTGCAGGGCGTGGATCCAACTCATCCACGACGACCTGGCATTGATGTAGTTGACTCTCACAAAAAAAAGTGAAGACTTTGATGTCCTTGCGGTTGCAGTGTGATACATGATTAGAGGCTTTGCTGTTTTATAACAAACCTCAATTTTGGCAGATTTGCAGAGCAGTTGGCAGCATGCGACGTAGCACCTTATGACACACGTTGCAAAAGCTGTGGGCCAACACCGTCAAGTAGCACTGAGTTTCAGGCATCTAGATATTCTGTCCACTGGCATCTGTATCTTGAGAAAGAAGGACATGAGAGATAGTGTTGCGATACCTGATCATTCGGTCAGACTTCCAGACTACAGGAACTCGACGAAAAGCGAGTGCCCACGATAGGAACAGGCACATCAATTCAGGCACCAAGGCCCAGACAAGCACCGACGAATGTGCCGAAAGCAAAAACGGAGGTGCCCTTGCGAAAACGGCGCAGAAGGCTCCTGCCCAGGTCTGTCCCGCCTTCTGTGCGAAGCAACTCAAACCCTATCTGCAACTCTTTGCTTCTCAGGTTTGCATCCAAGAAAAACTCTACATTGACGCTTGGCACGTATTTGAGCAGTGCAGTAGGCAGGGAATAAAAGTCCATTTCGCTGCCAACGGCACGGTGCCGACCGGGAAACACGGGAGTAGCAAGAAGGGCTCGAAGTTTGGCCGGTCGTTTTTTTCTGGCTCAAATTTTGAGCGCACGTGGCGGTTTCGATGGCCAGAATCGAGGTCAAGGAGAGTGATGTGCGCTCCATGCCCCTTGCGTCGGACCAATCCCTTTGCATCGTATGCAGGGCTTGTATGGGGAATGCATCCAGAGTTTGTACAGCGACCAAAACGGCAAGCTCGCTGAAGTCCGTGAGACTTTTCCGGGCCAACAGTGTTGAGATGCAGATTTTTTGACGTGCTTTCCACACTTGCTTCTTGTTTGCTTGCCTTCCTACTTGCCAGCTCGCTCGCCTGCTCGCTTGCCTGCCTGTTTGTTTCCAGCTTGATGGAAAAGGTTGCGGGAGCCTTATTTTGGGATAGACCCACAAGTTGCTCGTAATTCTTCATCGGACGCAGCCTGATGCCTGCTGGAAGAACTTATTGCTTGATAGAACAGCCGATTGATATTTTGTTTACAGTTGTCCCGTGGGTTCGATGCTTCTCCCTTAGAGATAACCAGGAGACGTATAGACGTGATTTTGTTTGTTGTGTGATTGTTTTCTTGACGTGATTTTGTTTGTTTGCCTGACATTTGGCATTCGCGTGTGCTGGACTTGCATGGGTCAAGTTACGTGCGGGCCGTCTTGACTTTTTTGCCACAAGGATACTTTCTTGAATGAGAAATAATGAAGACACATGGAGTTGAAGCACTTGAACTTCACAGCAACCACCAACCTAAGCAGTGGTACATGGCTACAGTTGAGTTCCAAGAGGCATTGCTCCCCAACTCCGGATGGCCCTTCCTCATCCGGAAGTGTCGTGCGCCAACGTGTGTTTTGGGGACCCAGTTTTTCCAACCCCCCAACCACTCTACATGGCTCTCGGTGTTTGTCCGAAACAGGTTGGTGGACAGGGTCGCCTCGGTGCTTTTTTTGCCCACCGCGCAGTCTTGTGTGCTGCGCATCGTCTGCCCAGACAAGTCTGTGCTGCAGGCGGTGAAGTGTTTCGCTTGGCGTTGAGGGCAGCCCGGGAAATGTGTTGGATGTGCTTGTGTGCGTCGGTGTTTTGAGGATACTGTATCCTTTCTGGGGTTGCTTCGAGGGGAAGCGAACGGGAAACCACCCATCTCGGGACTCCCCCCGTCAGAGACACACCATTTTGGCCAAGGTAAATTTTTGGTGGACCAATCTGGGTCAGCCACGAATTGAAACCAGTGGTTTTGCTTTGTCTTGCACTTTGTTTGAACCCCAAGGTAGGCAATGGGTGGGCTTGTTCTTTGGGAGTCATTATTTGCAGGTACTAACCTTCACTTAGGCTTTGATGTTTGCGAGCCTGGGATCATTGTTCATCGAGATAGCACAGTGTGTAGCGCTTGCTTGCTGAGAAGACACCCCTGTGTGACCTTGTTTTCACTCACTGTTGCGTGTAGTAAATAGTCCTTCAGTTGCTTTCCAACATGAGTAAGATGGAAACAGAGATGCTGATCAGATGTTTCACCATCAGCTGATGAGAGAGGATTTCAGTTGGCGGTGAAAGGAGAAACAGGCCCACTACCCCCCGGAAAGGTGAACTCTTGTAAGAAACCCAAGGTTCAAAGAGCCTTTTCCTGGGGATGGGGGCTACTTGAAGTGAGAGTTGGTTCGGTTGCTTTTCCAGTCGCATTTCTGGCGGACGTGGGATTGGGAGAGTGGCACATGTTTGGGGTGAGACACGACTGCCCTCGTCCCCTTGGATGTTGTTAAGATACTGCGTGTTAAACATCATCTGTACGGACTGTTTACCGGCCGGGCGTTCAGCAGTCCACAACAACAAAACCGCCTACGAATCTCACTCAGTCAATGGCAACACCAGCAACCGTGTTTATATAGGGTCATCCCGCCCCGGATCTGATTTTGCACATCGTTCTCTTCCCCGGTCAAGTTCAAAGCAGAACACTTTTTGCACGCCCTTTCGCGCTCTCCGGTATCTACTCTGCTACAAGAAGGGTCCAGTCGTATATGGAGACATCTGGTCAAGGAAGTGTTTAGTTTGTGTGATTAGCCATGGTTTATATCATCATCAGGGACGTCGCGTTAGTGACCGACCTGTGGTGTTTTGGCTCAAGATTTTGGGTTCCGTCGCGCCTCGAATGGGCGTCGCCGAACCCCTGCGTCGACCGACGGCATCTCGGGGGAGAAAGAGACCTCGGGCCGCCGCCAGGTTGGTAGGGACCAGTCGTGCAGCCTGTTGTCGACCAAGGTTGCGGGTTAACCCTTTTCTTGTTTGGTTTGTTTTCCTTTGGTTGTTGTTCTCTGGTGTGTGGGAAACCCTGATCTTTGGGACCGGGGATTGGTTTGCTTTTGGGGAACCTTTCTTTTGTGGCTTGTTTACCCCAACTTATCCATTGCCTGGGCACAGGCTCGTGCCCGAATCACAGGTTATCAGCCGTAGGACTTTCCTACGCGCTTGAGACCATCAACTACAAGCTCTATGTCGACCCCACGATCTCGAAGGAGCGTCGTGGATGAGGAGGCCATCCAAGGTGGCCTCCGCTCAGGTGAGGACCTACCGGACTATGACTACGAGGATTTCGAAGCAGGTTCAACAGGTCAGGACCGCAGGGGTGAAGATCCCGGTAGGGATACACCCAGGAGCCGTGGCAGGTACGCCGATGATGGAGACGATCGTATTTTCCGCCAGGCCACTGATGACGAGCAGACACGAAGGGTTTACTCCGGTAGGAGTGGCTCTGAATCAGGTCATAGGCGTGGACGTTTTGACTTCATCAGCATGGCGATGGACATGGCCCGCCCACATTCGGATGACCCGGAGGCCATGCCGATTCGACCTCCGAGATCTCTTGTTCCAGGTGAGTCGCAGGTCTCGGATGAGTTTGAGAATAGGCCGCAGGGACCAGGGACTATGGTTCTGGCTCCGGGAGGTATCCCGGGCCGATCCATTGGTTCTCAAAATCCAGGTCAGGTTGATGAGCACGAGGAGCGGAAATTCACGGACTTCGGATACGATGATCTGTTGAAATCAACCGCAGGTTGGGGCAGTAGCTCAAAGCAGGGATCTGATGCCGGTAGGCCCAACCCTAATACTGCCAAATCTGAGTCTTATGATGGCGAAGGTTACAATTTTGCGGATGAGGAGGAGAGCCATTCGCGCCGAAATGCAGGCAGCCGTGCGACTGCAAGGACTAGTCCCGCCGCTGCAAAGTTTGAGGTCGATGATGATGACGAGTATGCCGCATTTGCGGATCGCCGTGATGAGGAGGAGGACCAACCACGACGAAATGCTAGGATCCGTGATGCTGCGAGGCCCAGGAGCCTCTCTCGTGGAGCCGCCAGGGACCTTCGCGTTGACAGGGATGCCCGAAGCGAGAGGGAGAGAGCCAGGGACAGTCGGGAAGTTCTTCGGGGATTGGAGGCCATTCATGACCGCGAGGGACCGGTAGGTCCCCCGGCGATTGGTGATTCCCCGAATGTTCCCCCCTTTCCCAACATCACATTTGGAGGTCCGTTGAGTCAGAGAGACGTGAACTCGAACCGGGTTACTGGTTCACCGAGGATCACTGAGCGGGCTGCCGATGTTGTTAGGACAGGTGCCAGAGATGGTCGGCTTGCCGATGCACTCGGGATCGAAGATCATCCGTCGATCGCTAGCCCGTTAGGGCGGGATACCAGTGATCTTGAAACTCTGAGGTCTAGCAACGAGTTCACACCTCAATGGGGTTCGACTGCTAGGGAACGTAGTGTTTCTGCGAAAAGACCGTCACCTCTCGCCGCTGAGACCGATAGGTCAAAGGCGAGGAGGGCTAGCCCCTCACCGATGGATTCAACTCCGCAGGATGAGGAGATGCCCGATCCCGCTGATGTTCACATTCACTCCACCCCCGAGTCACGTGCATCCAACATTGATCCTCGATCTGGCGATAGCCGGAGAAGGGGATCTACCCCGAGTAGACCATCCAGGATTGATGATTGTCCCGTGGATGACCCCAGAAGACATGCTGGGGCTAGTGGGGCTCCTGAGAGGATCGAGATATCGACTCCTCCCGCCCTCAGATCCCAGTCTTCCGGCGAATCAGGTGACGCTAGGGCGAAGGAGGTGTTCGATTTGCACATCCAGGAGATGCTCGAGAGAGGTGAGGTTTCTGGCTCAGTCGCGAAGGCGTTCCACATCTTTGCTGACCAAATCAGGGTACTGAACGGTCAGGTGAGTTCCATGCGAAGGGAATGGAGCGACGTCAACGGACGAAGGACAAGGTCGATCGCCTGGCAGCTGAGGTTGCGACTCAATCTGATGCCGGGAGGATGCGAATGATAGTTCAACGGTTCGCAAGGGAAGTTATTCCCGATAGCAAGGCCATTGTGAGGCAAGCCATCGATGAGCAAGCCGAGGTCGTGGAGCAGAGGATTAACCTACTGTCCCACGAGGTCCATGAATCTGTCAAGGACAATGAGGCATCGACTGATCGGCTTCGCCTGATGATTCAGGAGAATAGTGAGGCTGCCCGCAGAAGCCATGCTGCTTCTGAGGACGAGATCCTTAAGGATGTGGACAAGCTTGAGAAACGGATGTTCTCGGTAGAGAAAACCGTTGGGATGCGGACACCAGCAGGTGTATGGAACCCGAATCC